ACTCTTTCCTGCTTATGCAGGGGGTCGGACTCGATGATCTATTGAGGTCCCTTCCGACCCTAACATCTATGAATCTATGAATCTAGGTGCCTACAAAACCAAGCTGAACCTCTTTAGTGAGCTCTAGTAATGCACATTGTCACAGTGCTATCATAGAATGGAAATGAGAATGAATGAAGGAATTAGTCTTTATTTTTTTTATGAAAGACATGTAACGAATAGGCACAGAATAAAACATCTCTCTTTGGGATTATTTCCAGTAGGTAACCATCAATCTTCTGGATCATGGTGTATGCCTAACAGGTCTAATCAACTACCTGATGAATCCACATGTACAGAGGCCTGCAACCATCACCGAATACCTTTGATGCATTTGCGCAGGCAAGAGTATGGAGGAGTAGAGGCTGCCCAAGACCTGCCATCCCTCTTTTAGACCATCGAGACAGAATCCAAAGGCCAGACTGAGTCCAGACATTCACTGCCTTGATGGCTGTAACTTCTGCCAGACAGCCATAGATAAGAACTGCTGGTGACTGCCTAACGCCTCATTTGAGGGCGTGTTTCTGTCAGGGTGATGTCCCTCAGCCTTTCTCCAACTAAGGAGCTCCCACAAGGCAGTGGGGGCTAGGACTTTGAGGTGCCTATATTTACTTTACTTCTGAGGTTGCAATACTGTGGTGTTTTATTTGAGCTACTCCGTGATGAGTAGTCCCACCACATTGCCAGCAGACCCTCCAGTCAGATACAGCTTACAGTCATACCTAGGACCACTGGATTTATTTATATTTTATATTCATCTCATATATTCTTTGTACTTCTACAGCAGGCACTGGTTGGGAGGAAGGGTATGTTTAGTGCTGAGGATAAGCTGCTATGCTCCATTACTAGTTCCATAGTAGGTAGGATTGGAAGGAACCTGAGCAGATCATTAAATCCGACCCCCTGCCATGGGCAGGAAAGAATGCTGGGGTCAAGCAACCCCGGCTAGGTGATTATCTAGCCTCCTTTTGAAGACCTGCAGGGTAGGAGCGAGCACCACCTCCCTTGGAAGTTGGTTCCAGATCCTAGCTGCCCTGATTATGAAGTAGTGCTTCCTGATGTCTAGCCTGATCCTACTCTCAGTCAACTTGTGGCCATTATTCCTAGTTACTCCTAGTAGTGTTCAGGGGAACAGTGACTCTCCTGTTCCCCGCTGGTCCCCCCTGGTAAGTTTATAGACAGCCACCAGATCCCCTCTCAGCCTTCTCTTGTGGAGGCTGAACAGGTTCAGGTCCTGTAGCTTCTCCTCGTAGGGTCTGTCCTGCTGCCCCTGACCATGTGAGTGGCCCTTCTCTGGACCCTCTCAATGCTGTCCACATCCCTCCTGAAGTACGGTGCCCAGAACTGGATGCAGTACTCCAACTGTGGCCTGACCGATGTCGCATACAGGGGGAGGATCTATGTCTTTGGGCTTCTCTTTGTGGTCTTTTGATTTCTGCTGGAGAAGGATGGTGGTAAGTCATGAAATGGGATTCAGGACTAATGTATAAAGGATTGACATAACAACTTGTTTGATGAATGACAAAAAGGCTTTATTTACTACAAGCATTCACTGTTAAATAAGCCTAAAGCAAAGCAAAGTCCAGTATATTTAGCAGGGCTCTGAAAAACAGCACCATTTCCTTTTGACTTCCGTTTTGCTGTTTCGAAGGGACAGTGTTTCATTTTGCTGTTTTGAAGCACTGTTCTGTTTCATTTTGTTGAAACTGTTTCACTGTTTCGATGTGTTTTGACCATAGGCTATAATGGGGAATCAAGAAAATGCATAAACTTTGTAATTTCTTGCTTGATTTAGATGACAATTGTAGGGATGGTAGCCCCTTCTAAGGGTATGAAGCCTGTCAGGTTTCAAGGAGATAGGTGCAGGGGTTTTTGTGAAACTACACCTCAAACTGTTCAAAGCAAAATTAGTATCACTTGCCAGCAGCCTGCTGTCATCCCACATGCAGATCCAGGGGCCCACGCCCCCTGGGAGGAGTCTGGCACAGCCCTGCAGCCCTCCCAGGGGGCACGGGATCCTGGATCTGCATGCCAGATGACAGGAGGCTGCCGCTGCCGGGCGGGGGCCGGACTCGGACCGGGGCACTTGGTGCAGGCTGCACTAGGCAGACTCGGGTGCTGCTGCTGACCCCAGCCAGCAGCAGCAGCTTGCTGTCATCCACATGCTCTGCAATTGGTGAGTGTGGAGCTTTAAAAAACAAACAAAAAAAAGCCCCGCACTCACTGGCTCTTGTAGCAGCGATTGGGGCCTCTGGGCTCTCATGGCAGAGCCCCACTGCGCAGCGTGGGGCAGTGGAGATCACCCCCCCTGCCTGGCACCTATATGGCAGATGCACCATCACGTGGGTGCAGCATAGCTCGGCAGGGCACCACATTGTCTGGTAGCTGGGGCGGATCCACCTGTCAGCCAGAGCTCCCAGTTTAAATCCCCAGCCCCTGGTTCAATCCCCCAGCTCTTTCTAGGGGGCATGGGCCCCTGGATCTGTGCGTCAGGTTTCAGTAGGCTGCCTCTGCAGGCTTGGGGCCGCCACCGCCACCCACAGT